GCAAGAAAACACTCATAATCCACCCACGCAGCGCTGACTGTGACTCCCGCGGGTGGATTTTTCCAGAGCGCTCTGTGTGCGAGTGCGTGCGTGCGTGCGTGCTCGTGCTCGTGAGTGCGCGCATCTTTGCTGATCTTTAGCAAAGAGCCAGCACCCTAAGCACCCCATTCAGGCTTCTATCCTGGGGCAGGGAAGGACTCTTGGGTGACCTGCCCGGGGCTTCAGCTACCGACCGAGGGCCCTGCGGCTGGAGCTCGACCTGAAACCCAGCAAGGTCAGTGAGGCTGCGGGGAAAACTCCGAACTCTGAAGCCCCAGTGTCCAGCCTCGCACAACTCTCGTTAATTTCCTGCACCAGAGGGGATCTCCGGCTTGAAGTGGGAGGCCACTCACATGTCCTCATACGGCCTTTCCCCTCCTGTGTCTGGCTCCTAATCTTTCCCTGCAGGATACCAGGCAGAATGGATGGGGGCCTACCTTGGTGACCTCATTTTAACTTAATAGGCTCTTCACCCTATTTCCAAATAAGGTCATATGCTGAGGAGCTGGTGGTTAGAATTTTAATATCTGACCGCTGAGGGACAGAGCTTAGCCCCAAACACCTTGGCCCAGGTCACTGCAAACGTGGTGCGTCTCGATGTCCTCCTCCAGGACCCAGGCCAATGTCACAGTCATCTAAGTGGAGCTTGGGGTCACTGACTGGAATGCCCTTTCCCCCACCGGGCCCTGGACAGAACACTGATGTCGTTTCCTCCCATCCTCACACCCCGAGGTAGCACTTCTCTTGCCCCTCGGTTGGATTGTTCCAGGCTGGGGAGATGGCTCAGTAGAGTAAGTGCTTCCCTGGTTGGCTTGTTCCCTCCAGGTACATTCCAGGAAGACATGCTGGACTACAGGGGATGCCACCTTGTCCTGAGGCACCTCAGCTTCATGGCTTCTCCAGCTCTGCCCCATAACCCCACTCTGTGTCCCTGCCACCCTCCTGCCCTCTGGAGGCCAGGGTGTTGCTATGGTGCCCACCAAGGATGCTTTTTCTCCCACATCTTCCTGGGGAGGGGCAAAAACAACCTTTTCCAGGAACTTGCTCACTCTTTGCATCTCCTCTTTTCCTGCCTGAGGCTGAACAGTTCTGTGTCCACTTGGGCCTTGGATACTGGTGACAGTGACACAGTGATGGGGCTTTCACCTCTTCCTGTCCACTGAGACAGCACTCCTGGGCTCAGCTGCCAGGATGGGGCCAGACACTGGTCAGGCAGGCTGAGCTCTGCGCAGATGGCACTGCCAGGGGCAGGGAAAAGTAGAAGTATATGTGGGTGCAAGGGGCAGCCACCAACCCCTGCGGGGCATGACTACAGAAAGCCTAGCTGAGAGTGTGACACATTTCCTGGGAGTTTGGATCTTGCAGAGAAAGACCTTTCACATCAGCCACCTGGTCTCTCTCTCTCTCTCTCTCTCTCTCTCTCTCTC